TGACACCCGCTCCTGGGCCAGAGCAGTCGCACGGTGCCTGAAGCCAGCGCATGAGAGAGAGTGATAAATGTTGAGAGAGCTCAACCAGTGGATACGGGAGGATCAGAAACAGTCAGTGTTCTATGACGTCTGATACTCTGAGAATTTGGTTACGAAAAACACTTTATTTCGTGTGTACAGCGAAAAAATTATTTTTATGTACAGATTTTATATTTTTGAAATGTCAGAAGTCATCTCCAATTTCAGGTGCAGGAGCAATGTTTCGGTGTGCTCCAGCTGCATTATACCCCTGTACACACGATCCCAATAAACAAGTAAACACATAATTTAGAGAGTTAAAATTATTCTTCTATACAGTGACACTTTCAACTTATCCTTTGAAACATTTTCCTTTCTACGAAAAAGATCTACACACTTTCAATGACCTTTCTTAAAATCTGCAACTGTCACTTTCTGATGAAACAAAACTAGACGTTCTTTAAAATTACTATAAATGTTACTACATTTCAAAATTCTAGGTAGCGGTCCTTGGGAAAGAAACAGACGTCAACTATGAAAAGTCGCATGCAATTTTCGAAAATATTTACACATTGTGACTGAAATTTATTATTACTTTTAACAGTATTTACTTCATAAGGCGTAACAATAAAATACAGTTTTGGACATGAAGAAAATGCGAAAATAAAACATACTGGAACGACAACAGTAATAAATTTTCTAATTACATCTAAATAAAACAATAACTTCCCCATGATAGACACAGCAAAGTGTTTAGGAAATACTTGATGAACTTGTTATCATAGATATTTACAATGAAGTGAAACAAAGGACAGCAAAAATAAACAAGGTTCTGTGCAAAATTACATCTAAATCAATTATAAAACTCAACTTTGGCATTTTCACCTAGTCTCATAGGAGTTAATAAATACTTAGAATTTGTAAACAAAATCAGCATTTTTTTTCATATTCATTTAAATCTTGTACTTTTATCTTTGTTGATTTAATTTTTTTCATAATTTCATCTTTTTTGCTTCTACATCTTTACTAGAATTCTTACTTTTCTCCCGTTAGAACCTGATTTTGTCTAAATATTCCTATAAGAGTGACTGACTCGTTAATTCATTTCTTCTTAACACCATGACACATTCTACTAAACAATTCCGGGCTGGTATCCTTTTTCTAATGAGTAAATAGCTTTTTGTTTGCTTTTCGCGCAAAATCACACGAGGGTTATCTGCACCAGCCGTACAAAGAATGCAAAAAGTTGATTATTCTTCATTACAAATCACGCCACCTAGAAAAAAATCAAAATAATAGGAAAAATAAAGAGAACAATTCGAAACTGGTCCACGCCGAATGTCATTCAAACAGCACAAAAAGACTTTAAAACACTACTATTACGAAACGGATATCCTAAATATTACAACGACAATGTTTCCAGATCACACAAAAAAAAACATTACAACAGCAACAGACCACCCCCCAAAACAAACTTATACGAAAACGCCCACAATGAACATTCCTTTCATAAACAACACAATCAGAAATAAGATTCGTAAAGCCATTAAACAATCCCAACTGTCAATTAATATAACTAAAAACTAGGTAAAACACTGAAAGAACCATTAGTTTACTCTTCATACTCCCAAACAAAATGTGCCAAAAAACAATCCCAACTGACAATCAATATAACGCAAAAACTAAGTAAAACACTGAAAGAACCATTAGTTTACTCTTCATATTCCCAAACAAAATTTGCCAAAAAACAATCCCAACTGTCAATCAATATAACGCAAAAACTAAGTAAAACACTGAAAGAACTATTAGTTTACTCTTCATACTTACATACAAAATGTGCCAAAAAACAATCCCAACTGTCAAATCAATATAAACGCAAAAACTAAGTAAAACACTGAAAGAACTATTAGTTTACTCTTCATACTTACATACAAAATGTGCCAAAAAACAATCCCAACTGACAATCAATATTATGCAAAAACTATGTAACACACTGAGAGAACAATTACTTTATTCTTCATACTCACAAAAAAATGTGCCAAAAAAAAATGCTACGCGGAGCAGAAGAAATGTGCCACATCAAAAATGTAGTGTATCAAATCATTTGTACTAAATGTGAAGACACATATATAAGAGAAACCGGAAAACCTTTTCACACGCACATCTCAGAACACATCAGTGCATTATATACGTATGACCAATACAAAACCGCTCCAGCACAGCACTTCCTATAAAAAGACATGGAACCCTAAACACAGAAAATCAAAACCCATTTAAAGTTTCTATATTACGAAAACATAAAGATTTTAAAGACAGGAGATATATGGAAGCTATACACATTAACGAAAAACATCCAAAAATGAACAGAGACAATGGGTGATACATGTAACTAAAACATTCAAAAAACAACACATCATACCAGTATACTTGACACTACTACTTTTAATTTAACACTTGCATACTCTGGAGTATCACACAGTCTTACAATTTGTTTTTAACACTGCTAGTATACTTTGTATCCTTTCAACTTAAAAAAAAGCTTCTATTTTCCGTCTATGTGTTTTTTTAGCTAATTATAAAACATACTGTGGTTCTCTTTACTTTTATATTTCATATCTATATAAATATAATATTACTGTCTGTTGTACGTACATGTAACTACTTCGCAGGGTGTATATGGATCTTCACCAAAATTGGTATGAAGGTTCATAACGTCCACACGGGGACACATGCAAATTATGAGTTTTGCATTTTACGGTTTTTATAAGCATTTTTGCTTTTTTACCACTACTTCGCCGCCTGTAGATGGATCTTCACCAAATTTGGCATGAAGGTATGTTGGGTCCATGCAGAGATACATACAAATTTGCGGTTTCACATTTTGTGTTTCGCAGTTTTTATGGGTAGTTTTTTTTTTTACAATTATATATATATA